GTCCCGCATCGGGCTCCCTGCTCGGCAGGGAGTCTGCTTCTCCCTCTGACCCTCCTCCCTCTCATGCTCTCTGTCTCTCATTCTCTCTCTCGCAAATAAATAAATTAAAAAAAAAGAAATGTAAAGAAAACTCTGGTTTCTCTAGTATGTCCTTCTGCTCACAACAAATTCTTCAGGATGCTTGTATCTTGCTTTGACAAATTGGGGAGGGTGTGTTTGTTTTTTCCACCTTCCTTAAGTTAGGAGCAGTGTGTTTGGTATTTATAAAAGCCATTTACTGATCCTGAGGGTTAATAAATGAGTGGTTTCTCCAGAGGCCCACAGGTTATTTGCACTTAGCATAGAGTGAACAACACTGTTCTAAGCATGTTGATGTTGTCTGTCTGTGTGATGTTCTCCTAGTCTTTAAAAAAAAAAAAAGATTTATTTACTTGAGAGAGAGCATAGAGAGAGAGAGAGACAGGGAGAAGCAGACTCCCTGCTGAACAGAGAGCCTGACGTGGGGCTCATTCCCAGGACCCTGAGATCATGACCTGAGCTGGAGGCAGATGCTTAACCGACTGAGCCACCCAGGCGCCCCTGTATTCTCCCTGTCTTGTGTAATTTAATTTCTTTGTTTTGGAAAGTATTGAGTGAGCCCTGTGCCCTAGACTTAGGGGATGCCTGGTCATCTGTGTGTGGTTTTCACATTTGTTATCTGGCTTATCGATTTACCTGTCATCCCAGTATTCAAATCTAGGATGTGGTAGATAATCACAGAAGGATAAATCATGGTAATTTTAATTTTCTGGGACAGAGATCATGTTTTGATCAGGTTACAAAGCTCAGTTGATTGCAGTTGGTAATTGGAAACCCCCAATTACTCTTGTGTGTTTATCATGGGAAATAGAGCATTTCTTTTTTCAGCTAGGTGGATACTGGATTTATTTAAAATTTGAGGTTATTTTTCTGTTTACTATAAATCTTCATGAAATTAAATAATATTTTAAAATTCCTTAATGCTAAAAAAATTAGACATTCATAGAATGAACAAGGAGGTTAAAGGTAGGTGTCTGTGGTTTTTTGTGAGATCTAGAATCCTTATTTTACTGCTATACTTTTGGTGGACTGTTTAAAAATATTGGTAATAAAACCTGATAATATGTTTAATAAGATTCAGTTAAATTGTAATCTGTCTTTATCTCTTTATAGATAATCAGGAAATGAAATCAAGGATTTTGGTAAGATTAAAAAAATCAGTACTATTTTTATATACCAACTATAACCAATTAGAAAGCATAATGGGAAGTAACACCCATTTATAATAAATACGAGTATCCAGAATAAATTAACAAGCAATGTGTAAAATTGATTATGATGAAAAACAAATTCTGAGAGACATAAGAGAATTGAAAGAATGGCCATATTTTATTCTTAGATGTCAGTTTTTCTGAAGTTAAACTGTAAATTCAATGCAATCTCAGAATTTTTTTTTAAAGATTTTATTTATTTAGAGCGTGCATGTCACGGGGGTGGGGTGGGGGAAGGGGAGAGGGCGGTGAACAGAGGAAGAGGGACTCTGAAGCCGACTCCACGCCAAGTGCTTTAAGAAATTCAACAGTAAGGGGCGCCTGGCTTGCTCAGTTGGTAGACTGTGTGACTTGATCTCGGGGTAGTAAAGTTCGAGCTCCATGTTGGGTGTGGAGATTACTTAAAATCTTAAAAAAAAATTTTTTTTTTTCAATAGCTCAGTGAGAATAGCCAGGTGCTTTCTGAAAGAGAATAATAAGCAGGAACTTACTGTTAGGCCTCAAAACACATTGCAAAGCTACAATAATAGTGTGGTTCTGGGGCAGTAGTAGGCCCAGAGTAAATAGGGAAGACTGGACTCCAGAAATAAAATCAGGTCCACAGAGGAGTTTGACTTGTGGAAAGGAAGCACTTAAGTTAGTGGGAAGAAAATGAATGATCAGTTAAAGGTGCTGGGCCAATTGGTTGGCCATCTGGGGGAAAACAAAGTTAGATCTCATTGCTCACACCTAAATAATTCTAGTAAAGAGTTCAAGTCATAAAAGTGCTGAAATAAAATACCTGTTTATAATCTCAGGTTGGGGAGGACCTTGCTGAGCATGATGTGAAGCTTAAGACCTCAAGAAAATCAAATCCCCAAAACAAGGATGAAAGAGAAGCTATTAGGAAAAATATTTTCAGCATAGCTACCTGACAGAGGATTAATTTAGTAATTCTAAAATGAAAAAGAGCTCTTATCAATTAAATTTTATTTATTTTTTTATCTTACTCATTTATTTTTTTAAGTAGGCTCCATGCTGGCCGTGGAGCCCAACTCGGGGCTTGAACTCATGACCCTGAGATCAAGACCTGAGTTGAGATCAAGAGTTGGACACTTAACCAGCTGAACCACCCAGGCACCCTGCCCTTACCAATTAAATTTTAAAAGCTAAGATTTACTCTAAAGAAATAGGTAGAAAACATAAGCAGCCTGCAAATGCTAACTGCAAATAACTAGTTAGCATTTGAAAATACATGCAGCCTTACTAGTAAGCAAAGAAATAGAAACATCCAGTAACAGGGTTTTCATTGTGTGCTTCTTGCTCAGCACAAATGGGCAGTTTGCAGCGTTGATGGCAGGGTTGGGGATGGCTTATTCTCTTGCATTGCCAACGGGAGGGTGAATTGGTACAACTTTTTTGGAGGAACGTTTGGTAACCTCTGTCAGGAGGTATACTTCAGCAATCTCCCTGATTATTTTAGGAGCTAGTCATAGAGTTGTGTCAAGCGTATATGAGAATGTTCACCAGAGCATTGTCTAAAACAGGATTGGAAGCCGCTGCAGTTTCCTCTATAGATAATTGGTTCAGCAGTGGACTCTATGAAGTTAGCACAAAGGATGATATACATCCAAATTCACTGATACAAGATTCCCCACTCCCCCAGATACTGTGGAACCAAAAAGCAAGTTGCAACAGCGCCTGGCTGGCTCAATGGGTAGAGCATGTGACTCTTGATCTCAGGGTCGTGAATTTGAGCCCCACGTTGGGTGCAGAGTTTACTTAAAAAAAAAAAAAAATCAGGTTGCAGAGCACTAGATAATCATCCCAGGGTGTGTCTGTGCACGCACCCACCTAGCTGTTGTCTGGAACTATTAACAGGGACTATCTCTTGGAGGGTAGGGACTGGGGAGGTTCTTGCAGCCATCTTTACGCTGTACGTATTAGTTAAGAACGGTAACCGGGCAGGCAGATTAGGGAAGCTGCGCTGGTTGTGTCTGCAGTGAGAACTCGGCTATGCCTGCGAGGTATTCATGCGGATATGATTTTTAGGTGATTAAGGCTGCAGAAGACAGCGCGCTGCAGTATATGAACTTCATGAATGTCATCTTTGCAGCACAGAAGCAGGTGAATTGGGAGCATCCTTTTTTTTTTTAGTTTTAATTTAAATTCCAGCATAGTTAACATACAGTGTTATATTAGTGTCAGGTGTGCAATATCGTGATCCAACACTCCCATGCGTCACCTGGTGCTCATCATGACACGTGTGCTCCTTAGTCCCCACCACCTGTTTCCCCCACCCCCCCTCCCCTTTGGTGACCATCAGTGTGTTCTCTGTAGTTAAGAGCTTGTTTCTTGGGTTGCCTCTCTCTCTCTCTCTCTCTCTCTTTCCCCCCTTGGGAGCATTCTTTTAGAAAATATTTGTTTCATAATGAATTTTATTTTTTGAATGACCTACATACAGAGATATTTTGACTAGCTGGCCTTATCAGTGGATGAAGAATCTGGAATTCATATTTTGTACTAGTCATTTCTCAATTTTGGGTCCTGGACCCCATGAATCTTATGGGTCCCCAGAAAAAGGTACACTGAAACACAGTTTTGCCTATGATTTCATGGTATTAGTGTAACCCCGTTTAGCACATCCTTGGACCTCAGGCTAAGAATCCCTAGTTTACAGTTTTGCTGTGTGCCTTGCCTCAATTCCTCTATCTCTTTGCTTTAGGGAGGTCTTATCAAGAATTTATATTTTTTACTTTGCAGATAATTGAATGAATTTACACTAATTCAAATGAATTATCACTAATACATTTTCTTTGATATGGTTAAAGAATAAACTTTCTTAAAACTTAAGTTTTGGGGCTCCTGGGTGGCTCAGATGGTTAAGCGTCTGCCTTCGGCTCAGGTCACGATCCCAGGGTCCTGGGATCGAGTCCTGCATCGGGCTCCCTGCTCAGCGGGGAGCCTGCTTCTCCCTCTGCCTCTCTCTCTCTCTCTCTGTCTCTTATGAATAAATAAATAAAAACTTTAATAAAAAAAAACAACTTAAGTTTTAACCCAAAATGCTGCCATATTCATGCCTAATATTCTCTGTGTTGGAGCAGCAGCATGATGTAGTGAAAAGACCATGGGCTTTGGGGACAGACAGACTGGGGTTGACAGCACTGCCCCTCCCTCCCCCTGCTCTGTGACCACAGCCTGGCCAAGGTGTGGGTGCTTCAGCTGCAAAATGCAGATTGAATATCTGCTTTGCAGAGTTATTCTGCATATCAAATAAGCTGTTTTAAGAATAGTCTAAAAAAAAAATAGCACATAGTAGGTTCCCAGTGTAAGTCATTATTTTTATTATTCCTCTAATGTTTTCGGAATGTTCATTTCAGAATATTTTGATCGATGCCTGTGTTTTAGACTCGGATTCAGGACTCCTCCAACAGGTACGTGTTCAGTGGAAGTGTGGTAGTCGTGGTCTGGGGAGCATGGTGTGTTCTCTTTATTGTTAAATGTCTGTCACCAACGTTCACACATTTTTAGGAATTAGCCTGTGTGAGGCTGTCGCTTAGAGCACTAACATCTCTCTGGTCCTTATTTTTTTATTGAAGTAAGTTGACACACAATGTCACATTAGTTTCAGGTGTACAATTCTCTGGTTCCTTCAAAATTTTTATTTACGTTTTACATAATGATTGATGCTGTAAAAGTGAGTCACATATTGACATGAATTCAAGCAACACGGGAAAGTATTTTTTAAAGGGGTAAAAAATCCCTTCAAATCCTATCATCTTAAAATTACCGTTGCTAATATTAGGTGAACAGCATAACAGATCTCTATAGGTATAGATGGAAGAATGGATCGCTAAGCAGAGAATTTAATAAAGATAGGATTGTACCCCAGATCTGTGCTGTCCTATATGATAGTTATATGGCCGTTGAGCTCTTGAAATGAGTCTGGTGAATTGAGGTGTACTGTTAAGTGTAAAACACACACTGAATTTCAAAGACTTAACATGAAGAACAGAATGTAAAATAAAGATTTTTATATTGATTACATATTAAGCTGATAATACTTTGGATATACTGAGTTAAATAAAATGTTATTAAAATTAATTTTATCTTTTTTTCCCCTTTTTTTATGCGGCTAGAAAATTTTAAGTTTCACATGTTGCCCATATTTTATTTCTGTTGGACAGCACTGTTAGATGTTGCTTTTCAGTCAAATATATGAAACTGCAATCTAATGTAACCAAAAAGGGGAAAAAAGAAACAAATAAGACTGAAGAAATTGCTGAACTTTTGATAAATGTTTTTTTCGACCACAAGAAATATTCTTTGCTAAAAGATCAGTTAAAAGCACAAAACTGGAAAATGCTGAGTTTAGGATACTGCCGAGGACACAGAGTGGGAAGGGGAGATATGATTAGAAAGTATACTAACGTCAGAGGTTCCAAATTGTCCTATTTCTTAAGCTTGATGGTAGATACATGGTGTTCATTTTATTTAAACCACACTTACATGTTATGTATATATACTCTTGCACATATGGTTATATTTCAGAATTAAAAAATCAAAAATGTTGAATACATTTTTTAACTGCACATTTCACTCTACACAGTGTCTGCTAACTCCTAGAAGATCTTGGCTGTACCCTGAGTTTAAATGCTCTGCCTCCCCGACCCTCACATCGCTATGTCTGGGCCAGATGCAGGCTCTCTGTGTTCCAGACTTGCATAGTCAGCTGCTCAGGCAGCATCTCCCCTTGGACATCCAGAAGCATCTCCACTTTAACTTGTCTGAAGCAGAACTCCTTATTTTTTCCATGTTGCCTCCCAGGGGCCTCCCCATTGCAGCAAGTGGCAGCTCAGTTCATCAGCCAAAAATCCAAGCCAAAATCCTGACTCTGCCTTGTTTCTTCTCTTCCTCCCTTTCCAACCCATTAGCCAATCCTTTTGACTTGATCTTTGAAATAGTCCCTGAATCCCACCATATGTCTTCTCCTTCGTTGCTACCCCTCAAGTGGAGGATTGTAGTATCTGTTAACTGGTCTCTGTTTCTACGCTTACCCCGCCCACTGAAGTCCGTTCTCAAGACAGTCAGAATGAAGCTTTCAAAATATAAATCAGATCTTGTCACTCACCTGCTTAAAACCCTCGCATGGCATCTCCTCACACATAGACTAAAACCCAGATTTCTGCCATGGCCGTCTGTACCCCCCGCACAATATGGTTTCTGGGTATCTCTTTGTCCCCATGGAATCTCCCTCTTTACTCCACCCACACTGGGCTCCTTGCTATTGCTTTAAAACTACAGGCCTGCCACCGCCTAAGGGTGTCTGTGTTTGCTGTTCCCTCTGCTTCTAAGGCTTCTCCTCAGATATTTGCTTGGTTTACTCCCTGCCCTCATTTGGGTCTCTGCTTCTGTGTCACCTCCTCAGAGAAGCCTTCCCTGACCATCCAATGTCACTCCCTGTCCCCTTACCCAACTTCATTTGTCTTCATAGAAGTGATCATAACCTCTGACATTATTTCAGCATTTACTTAACTCATTGACTCTCTGTCTTTCCCCCGCTTGCACCCAAGTGTCCATCAGTGGATGAACGGAGTTAAATAAGTTGTGGTATAACCATACGATAGAATATTATTTGGTCATAAAAAGGAATAAAGTACTGATCTTGCCACAATGTAGATAAACCTTGAAAACATGATGCTAAGGGAAAATTGTACGAGCCCATTTATCTGAAATGTCCAGAATAGGCCAATCCATGGAGAAAGAACGTGGGTCACTGGTAGCCTAGGGGTAGGGGGTTGGGAATAACTGCTAATAGGTATGAGGTTTCTTTTTGGGGTGAGGAAATGTTCTGGAACTAGATAGTGCAGTTGCACAACTCTGAAGACAGTAAAAAGTAGTGAAGCCCACACTTTAAAGGGTGAATTTTATGGCCTGAGCATAATCTCAAAGCTGTTGTTAAAAATATAATGAAACTGAGTAAACGTGGCTGGAATAAAAATTTCATCAGTAGTAAACACAGAGGAGAAAGGGCATGTACTGTGCTCACTAAGGTCTTCAAAGGGTGGAAGAGTGTGGTGCCCGTGGCAGAAATAGTTGAACACCTTGAGAGGTAGCAGGAAGTTTCTGGTCCTCACGCACCCTTGGGAAACCATGCCCTTTTGATTGGCACCGTCATATCCCCCTCTCCTTTGGAGACCTGAAGCATTGCTGGTGAGAATTACATCTCTCTGGAAAAGCTAAGCGAGTGCCAGTTTGGCAGAGAGCTCTTTGGATGTCTTGCAGGCTTGTGACATCACGGGGGGACTGTACTTGAAGGTGCCTCAGATGCCGTCCCTTCTGCAGTATTTACTGGTAAGGAACCTAACACCTTGTGTCTGGGTGAGCCCCTCTCCCCCCCCCGGGGGAATGAAGGGGAGCACAATGGCTGATGCTAGTAAGTGGGAGGAGGAGTAGATGGGTGCTAGAAGTGGACACTTCGGGTCGTCTTCGAAGGCAGCTGCATACAGACTGTTGCAGGACTGTTCACACAGTCCTACAACAGCTTGGGGAGGTGCTCCGTAACTGCTGAATGAATAACGCAATTCTTGATGGACTTCTAAGGAAAATCCTAATTTATTATTCACCTTAGTGATCACTGGCTAATATCTGATACCTGTGTTGTAACTTCTGATTATTTTTCCCCATGTTTTAAATAAAATTTCCTTGCCTCCTTTTTTTTTTTTTTTTTAAAGTGGGTTTTTCTTCCTGATCAAGATCAAAGATCTCAGTTAATCCTCCCACCCCCCGTTCATGTGGACTACCGGGCAGCTTGCTTCTGCCATCGAAATCTCATTGAAATTGGCTATGTCTGTTCTGTGTGCTTGTCAAGTAAGTTCAAGTGCAGACTTTTCTGTGTTGGGGGCGGGGGTGGCAGAAAATAAGTCAACTGGGCGGTTTTTTTCAACATCCTGTTTGTTTTTCACATTTACAGTATTCTGCAGTTTCAGTCCTATCTGTACCACGTGCGAGTAAGTATCCCTGGGCTGGTGTGGCTGGCTCACGCGGGAGAGATTCAGAGCTCCTAAGAGGGTCTTCCTCTCTGTGTCGTTACAGGACAGCCTTTAAGATTTCTCTGCCTCCTGTGCTGAAGGCCAAGAAAAAGAAACTGAAAGTGTCCATGTGATCATACGATCCCCCCAGTCTTTTAGAGCCTATTAATAGAAATTGTATGGTGGAATGTTAGGAGGCCCTGAAAAAAATACAGTGCATGTGGGATAATTTTGAATGAAGTTCCTTACAGGAAAGACTTCTAGACCATTATCCTCATGCTGTGCTTTTGGGAGACTGCTTTATTTGAGGGGGTCATTCTATGCAATCTTTTCTGACTGGTTTTTGTCCACAGAGGGAGAAGAAAGCACAAATTAGTTAGTGACTTTTTTTTTTTTAATGAGATGCTCATTTTGCCAGTCAGCCTGGCCTGACTCATTGTAGGCTTTTGACTTTGTAGCTGAGTCTGGGTTCTGCCTGTGAAATGTACAACCGGTGAAATTTGAGTGCAGTTTTGGAAAAAGCAACCACGCAGTAATGGCATTAATCCACATAGACCATCTTCCTTGAATCAACAGCTGACTTTGACGATAGTCCTGTAAATATAATGCTTATTGTCTAAGTTGAGATTTAGCTTCGGATACTAGCAGATAGTTTTACTTTTGTCGGACATCACTGCGCATTCGGACGTAGTCATCCACATAATAACTGTCTGTTGCTGCATAAGTACAAAGTCTGATCTTGAGTGAGGAGAGAGGGTGCAGTACTCTGGCAACGACTTTCTCTTCAGAGATAGTTGGGTGAAGAGCTTATGTGTGAAAGCCGGTGTCTGGGTTTGGAGGGGGAATTTCTTGGTGGAGAATGGATTCTTTTTTTTTTTAAAGATTTTTTTTTTTTTTTAAAGCTTTTATTTATTTGACAGAGAGAGAAACAGTGAGAGAGGGAACACAAGCAGGAGGAGTGGGAGAGGGAGAAGCAGGCTTCCCGCCGAGCAGGGAGCCCGATGTGGGACTTGATCCCAGCACCCTGGGACCATGACCTGAGCCGAAGGCAGACGCTTAACGACTGAGCCACCCAGGTGCCCCAGGAGAATGGATTCTTTACGGTTCAGTACTGTCCCCCAGATAGAATTCTTTAATTTTGTAATGAGGAAAAAAAAGTATTAATGTTGGAGAACTGTTCTCTAGAACAAGTGCGATAGGTTCAAAAGAAAAATTATCTGTAATTTCAACAAGAAAAAACTTATTTTTCTATGTAACCTTGAGGTTATTAGAAGTCTTTTCAAATTCCATCACAGAAGAGTTTTCAGGAATGGTGGCTGGTTTGGTTTGGTTTTAAACGTATATTGACAAAAACCCATTTGTGTACACAATTTTGTATGTAAGTAAGATTTTAATTTTCTCTTTCTACCAGCTCGGAAGCTGAGTCTCATTTAAGTAATTTGGTATTTGGCTAGATGATTTCAGGTAGATTTTGTACTTTGGATTTATAATTTTGTTAAATTCACACAGGTTTTGGTTATAATTTGGCAAATATTTGTTAATCCTTGAGTTTGAGAATCTTATTTGTCTTTTAGAAATCATATTTAATATTTCACAGCCTAAGTGTAATGGAAATCACTGTTTTAAGTCTAGGAAGTCATCAGATATCTAAAAGATGAAGAATTCAAAGAAGCTGATCAGGTTCTTGTTACAATTTTTTTGTTTGAGATGTTTTGTGTACTGGCTTAATTCTGCTTAGGTTTTATTTTTAACTGTTGTGTTTATGGTTTATATAAATTTTTATAATAAAATAATTTAAATTTTCACATTTGCTTAAGTTATTTTCTCTTATTCATTGTTTATTTCATGCTAATTCAACTTACCTTTAAGTTTGTACTTCAACTGGATTTGGTCAAATGTCAATTTTTTATTCAACTCTGGAGAACTTTTATTTTATTTTTTTAAGTAAGCTTTATGCCCAGTGTGGGGCGTGAACTCACAATCCCAAGATCAAGAGTCACATGCTCTACTCAATGAGCCAGCCAGGTGCCCTGAAGAACTTTAATTTAAAATCTTGCTAAAACTATATATGAAAATATTATTACAAATACTGCATAATAATAGATTGGTATGAAGTATTTAATACAAAGTTTCTAAGTATGAGACTATTAGAAGAAAGATTTGATGTTTGCTTGTAATTTTATACTGGAGCAAGGTTAGCCAAATTTTAAATATTTGGTATTTTCATTGGATAAAGCAAGCTAGTATAATGTATGTTTTGATGTCATAAAAGTAGGACATTTATTATCTCATAAGAGTTAATTTTAAAACCATGAAATTATTCTCTTATAAATAGATAGCTGTGACTATCCAGTCTGCTTTCTAAAGGTGGTCCCTTGGGCTACCTTCTGTAGGTAAGTCCACAAAAAGATTCCTGCTCCCTTGCTTTTTTAAAAAAAATTATTTTGGGGGCACCTGGGTGGCTCAGTCGTTAGGTGTCTGCCTTCGGCTCAGGTCATGATCCCAGGGTCCTGGGATCGAGCCCTGCATTGGGCTCCCTGCTCAGCGGGAAGCCTGCTTCTCCCTCTCCCGCTCCCCCTGCTTGTGTTCCCTCTCTCGCTGTCTCTCGGTCAAGTGAATGGATAAAATCTTAAAAAAAAAAAAAGTTATTTTGTTTTTCAAGTAATCCAAACATGATTTGTAAGGCTGTTAGTAATTCCTGGAAGAGTGCATGGAATGCTTCCAGCAGTAATGGAGAAGAGAGTAAATATACCAATGACATTTTTATATGAGAAGTACAGTATTTAAAAATCAGGGCTTTTCATTAATAGTTGAATTACATTTTATGCCTACGTTTTATATTAATAGAATTGATTACAGATCATTTTAAGAACAGTTTTCTAATTAATAATGTCATTGTACCTCACAAATGACATTTTTTTTACTTTGAAGCCCCCCCCCCCTTTTTTAACTGTAATGCCCTAGAATTCCGCAGTTCATTCCACTACTGGCTAAGTAGCTTAATGCAACCAAAAGCAGAAAATAAAAACATACTTTTAATCAGTACTATTTTTTCTGATTAGCACAGAAAACGATTGCATGCTTTTTAAAGAAAAGAAAGTACATAAAACTAGGGGGGGAAAAAAGAGAAAACCTGCTTTAATCATTCCTCCACCACCCACCCAGAATTGGGAGGGTTAGAGAATCCCTGTAAATTACTGTCTGGTGCATTTCTTCCTTTCTCTTTCTTTCTTTTTTTAGATTTATTTATTTATTTTAGAGAGAGCAGGGGGAGGGGCAGAGGGAGAGAGAATCTCAAGCAGACTCCCTGCTGAGGGAGGAGACTGGCGCAGGGCTTCATCCCATGCATGACCCCAAGATCATGACCTGAGCGGAAAACAAGAGTTGGACTCAACTGACTGAGCCACCCAGGTGCCCCCGGTGCATTTCTTTACCGTAGCAGGATGTCGCAGCTGGAAGAATTGACAGGTTTATCTGTTGTTTGGTAAGGAAAGGACTTTTCAACTGACCTAAAACAAAAATGTTCTTATTTTGAGTGTCTGATGAGTGATATTTGCCAATACAGGTAACTGTGGTACTAACGATGCCTACCTACAGTATGTGACAACATGGCAATAATGTTAAGGTCTAGGAAAATAGAACTCAGTGAGGATAAAGATCTGTAGTTTATTTATTTATTTAAAGATTTTATTTATTTATTTGACAGAGAGAGCGAGAGAGGCAACACAAGCAGGGGGAGTGGGAGAGGGAGAAGCAGGCTTCCCGCTGAGCAGGGAGCCTGATGCAGGGCTCGATTCCAGGACCCCGGGATCATGACTTGAGCCACCCAGGCACCCCAAGATCTGTAGTATATTTAAAACACCCCCACGAACATTTGTGTTTGCCTAAGTTACTTTCTCATGTTTCCCCTAGATGTAAAAGCATTTTGACCCAGGGATTACAAGTAATTCAAGACAACGATTTTGACCCAGGGATTACAAGTAATTCAAGACAATGATTTTCCTCAATGAAAATGCTTCTTACTCTCTTGTTAAGGAATAGTAAATAACAGCAATGTGTCTGACAACCCTCCTGCTAGTAACGTTCTCCTAGGCTTTAGTCCCAGATAGCAAGAGATATAAACACTCTGCAGTTCTCCTAGAGCTGATGTGCGGGGTGGTGGCCGGGATTTCCTGCCAGTCTTTTTTTTTTTTTTTTTTAAAGATTTTATTTATTCACTTGAGAGAGAGAGAATGAGAGAGAGCGAGCGCATGAGAGGGGGGAGGGTCAGAGGGAGAAGCAGGCTCCCTGCTGAGCAGGGAGCCTGATGTGGGACTCGATCCCGGGACTCCAGGATCATGGCCTGAGCCGAACGCAGTCGCTTAACCAACTGAGCCACCCAGGCGCCCCTCCTGCCAGTCTTACACTGCACAAATACCACGATTTTGCAAGAGTGTAAGAACAGAGCAAAGCTCGGTGCAAGGCATTTGTAGAACCTCAGCTTTCATATTGCTTTCAGAATGTTAGGTTTGCTGATCAACTAATACGGCAAACATTTATTTGGCATTTGCTGTTGGCAGGTATCATGCAGACGTGGATCCTCTCAGCTAACCGGCATACCATCCCTCTGAGAGCTAACAATGAGTGAACATTTATTGAGTGCCTACTGTATGCCAGGCGTTGGTCTAGACTCATTAGTATGTTAGTTCGTTTAATCCTCACACAATCCTATCAGGGAGGGACTAATCTCTCCCTTCTTTGGATGAGGAAACTCAAGTTTGGAGAGGCTAGATGAGCTGCCCCAGGTCACTTAACCGCGGAAGGAGGGAGAAATCCCACAGCGACCTCAGAGCCTGCACGCCTCGACATGGAACTGTAATAAGGCGTGGAATGCTTTGAAGCTATTGACGTAAGAATTCAGATACTTTGGCATCTGTCCTAACGCTGGGCAAAACGTTTTGTATTCTTTGATAAGATCTGCTTTCGGAGTGCTGACAGCTCTGTGCAGCTCTGTGCGGTAAAAACAACACAAACTCTTAAAAAAACACTGGGAGAAGGATAACAGTTCAGCAGCGCTACACAATTACAGCACTGCAGCCTCACCCCCTTTTTGTCTTTCTCCCAAAGTCCCCATAAAAATCAAGTTTATTAAGGAGCGTGTTTAAGAAGCCAGTTCCCCTGGGCTCGCTCATGCTGTGTGACTGAATTAACTCTAGGCTGGGGGAGCTCTTTAAACTGGACACAGACTCTCACTTTTTCCTGATCCCTTGGGTTGAGATTGAGGGCCCAGGGCCTGTGGGCGGGGCTGGGTTGCTGGGGCCCGGGCCGGGGGCGGGCTCTCTCCTGTTGTCCGCCCAATCACCGCCCCCGCCGCTCTTCAGACCCGCGGCCGATTGGCGGTTGCCATAGCTCCGGTTGGCTTGACAAGATGGCGGCGGCGGGGCGGCGCGGCCCGGGTCTTCGGGTCCCGTGCTTCCCGGCTTCTAAGGCGGGCGGGATTCTGTGAAGCGAGCCCCGCCAGGCCTCAGGCATGGGCTTGCCGCCGCCCTCCCCTCTGCTCTTGGGGCTCTTCCTTCTGCAGGGCGTCCTGAGGCCGCTGGGGGGGGACCTGGGTGTGTACCGCAGGACAGGGGCCTGCAGGCCGGGGGTGGGGGTGAGTGGGGGCTGGGGACGAGGCGTTTAAGGGGCCAGACTTGGGACTCCTCCCGGAGTCCTTGCAACTACTAAGTCCGCCCTTCCCCTTCCTTCCCGCCTAGTTTTCATTCCTGCTTTCATCCACATGACCGGCCCCGCGGTCAGTGCGTCCCTGGTCGGAGGCACCGAGGATGTGACCGTGTCCCTGGCCCTGCTGCAGGACAAGGAAGGTAAGACGTCGGGCCCTTCCTTTGGGGTGGTGTTTTGGGGGGCGCAGGGCCAGGCCGCCCAAGGAGCCGGCGAGGTGGCATCGCAGGAGGTGGCGTCCCCGGGGTGCCCGGCCGCCGTCCCCTGCAAAGTCGCCATGGGAGCAGGGGTAGGGGGCTGCTGTGGACCAAAGAGGACCAACGGACAGGCTCAGGGATAGAAAGCTTGGGACAATAATGGCTAGCATTCACTGAGCTATCTGTCCCCTGTGCTTTATATGCATCCCCACATTTTCCTAGTAAGAACACTAATATCCTTTCATGCCATTTAACAAATGCAGACACTACAGTTCAGAGAGGTTGTCACTTGTCCGAAGTTGCACAGCTTGTGGTGGGCCCAGTCCTCGGCTTGGAAAAGGATTCCCTCCTAGGGAGCCTGATTCCAGCGTGCACACCCTTAGCTGCTGAGCAATACTGCCTTGCATCCTAATCTTCTCTCCTAAAGGATTATTGCCGGTTCCAGCTTGTGGAGTGCTGACCAATGAGACAGAAGACTGGAGCTTGACTGTGACCCCCACTGTGATAAGGCCAGAGGTAAAAATGTTCTTGGTAGCACCTGCGGAGACCCACAGTTAGTGTTTCTGCAGTGCTCTCGTGGTTGGACATGATACAGTTTTCTCTGGGCTTGGAACTACCATGAAACTGGGGGTTATCAGATCTATAGGCACCTGCCCAGCCCAGAGGTGCTAACGCTAGGGTCAGGGGTCCTTGGACGAGTTTCAAGAAGTTTGTGAACCTTCTGAAATGATCTGTAACATTATATGTGCATTTTGATGAGAGGGTTGGCAGCTTCCATCAGATTATCAGATGGACCTGTGACTCAAAAATCTTCATGAACGACTGACCTCACCCAGCTCTCAGCTTACGTGTAAGGATACTCAAGCCGGAAGAGATGAAATATCTTCCATTTAATAAATGTTTTATTGAGTGCCTAGTATGTGCAAGACACCAACTGTGGAGATAAAGGCTGAGAAAGGCAGACTTTACTTGCATCCCAGGAACTGGGGATTGTTTTCATTGACTTTTTGTGTGTGTATTTAATTTCTGCTGATATGCTGGCAGGAGATAAAGAAAGTAAAAAGACGTGGACACACTGAGTTAATTTACCAGACAGACCTGTGTTTAGTCTTCTCTATCCAAAAGTGGCTTGCTTTTCTGTTAAACTGAAGATAAGGCTTGCAACAGGGTGGGATTGAACAGAACGATGTCATCTTTGTGTACAGTTCTCCTTTTGTAAAGTGAACTGAGGCTGATGTGTGATTTTATTGTGTTTTCCATTATGTGTTCTTAAAATGATTCACGCTGTGTTGAGTCACTTTAAAAGAGACAGCGTATTTTCCTTTCAGAATGCATTGGATGTGACAGTGAGGTTGAAGAGGGGATGGCAAAGGTGTTCCTCTAATGAGATGGATTCCTTCTCAGAGTCCCCGTGTATGGTCCAGACTCTTCTGGTTTCAGCATCTCGCAATTCATCCTGTTTAGCCCATCTACTCATTCGAGCGGAAATTTATGCCAACTCTTCTTTGGCCCATAATGCATCAGGCAAGTAAAGTCTTTGATGGTAAAAACATTCATGCCAAACATTATCTGTTGGACTCAAAGCATGTGCCACGTGATCTGTGCGCTCTGCTCTTGAGTCAGTCTTGCCTTTCTAAACATACTTCCCTTTTGTTTAATTTTCTTATTTTAGAAATTTTCACTTTGTCCTATTTTACTTAATTAGGATCTATTTTATTTTACTCTAGTGTTTGTGTCCTTGTAGACTGCCTTCAAGGGAGAAAGTGAAGTTTGTTTCTGTGTATTGATTTTTGTGACCCCATCTTGAAACAAAACCAAAAACAAAAAAGCAAGGGAAAGATTAATGAAGGAATTTACAAAACAAACAAGCAAAAAAACCCACAATAGATTTTCAGTGAAAGCTTTTGCCACCAGCTGCCTTTCCAGAGGCGGCTTTTTAATTTATGGAAGTGTGTGGCGTTCTCTTGTTTAAAAACAACACACACACACACGCAAAACACACTGTTTACTATTCTATACCTTTTTTTTTTTTTTAAATTTTATTTATTTATTTGACAGAGAGAGACACAGCGAGCGAGGGAACACAAGCAGGGGGAGTGGGAGAGGGAGAAGCAGGCTTCCCACGGAGCGGGGAGCCCGATGTGGGGCTCGATCCCAGGACCCTGGGATCATGACCTGAGCCGAAGGCAGACGCTTAACGACTGAGCCACCCAGGTGCCCCTATTCTATACCTTTTAAAATAAATTCCATATAAATGTAGGTTCGCCTCGTTCTTTTTAATAGCTGCATGGTATTCCATTGTGTGGAGAACCCTTGTTTACTTGACTGGCCTCTTCCTGCTGGAATTGAAGGCACTTCCAGCTCGTGATGTGTAACCAGCACTGTAGAAGACGTTACCGCGCACATGTGTGTTGAGACTTGAAAGTGGTATCGTGTCATTCTCCCTTTCCCGTGGCAGTGTTCTCAGAACAAGAGAATGTAGGGCGCCTGGGTGGCTCAGTTGGTTAAGCGACTGCTTTCGGCTCAGGTCATGATCCTGGAGTCCCTGGATCAAGTCCCGCATCAGGCTCCCTGCTCGGCAGGGAGCCTGCTTCTCCCTCTGACCCTCCCCCTCTCATGTGCTCGCTCTCTCTCATTCTCTCTGTCTCAAAATAAATAAATAAAATCTTAAAAAAAAAAAAAAAGAACAAGAGAATGTAGGTGTGCCGGTGGGTGGTGAGGGGTCTGCTCTGATAGGTGCCACCGCCATGCCCCCCGTCTCCTGCAACCAACTCCAGCATCTCTTGCCTTTCTGGTCATCTGGGATGAAGGGAGATGCGTTCCTCCTTAGTAGCAAAGGTCTGTCACTTTGAGACTCCCACACCGTCAGTTCCCTCATCACATGCCCTCCCTGTTGTCTTCCGTGTGATTTTGGAAGTGGAGGAGGATAGGGTGAGTTAAGATGGCGCCATTCAGCGGGCCACTCTGCCCTCAGCGTGCTGGCATGGAAGGGTCTCCAAGATAAATTGCCAGCTGTGGAAAGCAGATGCAGATGGGTGCCTACAGCCTGGAATGAGAATATATATTTATATGTGCATAAAGAAGTTCTGGAAGGCTATCGAGACGCTAACCATGTGAGACCATTTGGGAGAGTGATGTGGGAACAGGAAGGGGCTGGCTGTGAGGACTTCACCGTGTACCTTTTTTTAGATCCTCTTGAATTCTTTGAACATGTGAATCTGTGACCTATTTAAAGGTTTAAAGTTTTGTTTTTAGAAGAAAAAACAATCTCTAATGTTTAAAATTCAAAACAAACCAACAAAATAATATCCAGTGGGGGCTTAAAAAAAAGTATGGGAGGGATTAATGGTAGCTCTACCATTCAAAGTGGTGGCTTTTTTTCTTTTAAAAAATGTTGTTTTGGGCGCCTGGGTGGCTCAGTTGGTTAAGCGACTGCCTTCGGCTCAGGTCATGATCCTGGAGTCCCGGGATCGAGTCCCGCGTCGGGCTCCCTGCTCGGCAGGGAGTCTGCTTCTCCCGCTGACCCTCCCCCCCTCATGCTCTCTCTATCTCATTCTCTCTCAAATAAATGAATAAAATCTTAAAAAAAAAAAAAAGAAAAATGTTGTTTTGACTACATTTAGGTAATAAATAAAATTTCTTTTAAAAAATATTCACTACATTTAGGTAATATTTCAAAACGTCTTTGTACAAATAGCCAAACTTAGGAAAATTAGAGTATTTGTATACTGGTAATTATGAGATGTCTGCTCTGATCCCATGAAGGTATGAAATGTTTTGCACCCAGTCAGACAGAGCTCAGAACAAGAAAAAGGATAGAAGGACAGACAGGAGGCACGTGGTATGCCTCGTAACAATGAAGCTAGCAAATGGCTGAGGAGACATAGATAGATACACAAACATCTATCTATATATCATATAGTAAAACCCTATTCTAAAATGCCTTGCTTCCATCCCATGGGTTTGATTGTGCTGATGGTCAGAGCCTTGCCTGGTAACATAGTCTGTTATTCAGACCTTCTCCTCATTTCTGATGCCATTGACATACTGGGGTTCTACTATACTATAGCATAGACTATGTAGTTAGAGGTTCTTTAGAGAACTTCAACTGTCATGTCATTGAAGTTAACTGTTACATAGAGTTTAAAGAAATAATCGCTGCAGGGGCTCCTGGGTGGCTCAGTCGTTAAGCGTCTGCCTTTGGCTCAGGTCATGATCCCAGAGTCCTGGGATCGAGCCCCGCATAGGGCTCCCTGCTCCGCGGAGAGTCTGCTTCTCCCTCTCCCACTCCCCCTGCTTGTGTTTCCTCTCTCGCTGAGTCTGTCAAATAAATAAAATCTTAAAAAAAAAAAAAAAAAAGAATCGCTACATAGTTTTTCAACATGTACCAAATCCTAGGGCAAAAATAAAATTCAGGGGGCGCTTGGGTGGCTCAGTTGGCTAAGCGTCTGACTCTTGATCTTGGCTCAGGTCTTGATCTCACAGTCGTGAGTTTGAGCCCTGCATTGGGCTCCACGCTGGGTGTGAAGCCTACTTAAAAAAAAAAAAAAAAGTAACATTCAGCAGACTGAAATTTTACCCAATAAATTATTGCAGAGAAACTGGAAACATTACTCTCTGGATTCTGAGTTAGGTTGAAATGGAATATAACATATTCCTTTTCCAATCCATGTAAAAATTAATTTCCTCCACACTTTCACACTTGAACCAGAATCAGGATGTGAAGAGTCGGGTCGGCAGTACGGTAGGATATGAGGTTGAGCAGGTAGCGTGATTAGATATAATCTTGTGGCCATATAGGCCCCAGATAAGCTGTCTGAAATGTCACCATAGTTTCGGTTTTATCTGCTGGAGGAGGTAATGAATTTGAAGGAGTCAATGCTTAATGTCAGCCGTGTTATGAAAGGGATTGTTCAGCATATTGAAAAATAAAATCAGTGCATTACATTTATCCCAACTTGTCAGTTTTAGTCACTTGATTATCTTTAAGATCAACCGTGACTTTCAGTTTATTATAACTGGCGTATTTTCCTATATTTGGGTTTTTGTGGGCGTAGTAGATAACAGGCCTCAGATAGGGTTTACGCATAGCTCAGGGATTCCTTAATGTGTCATATTTGGTCCTGGTGATTTGTAAAACAATGATTCAGCTTTCTTTTGTGTGTCCAAAACGTGGCAGTGCTTTGTCAGTGTTTCATAGCTGGACTTCTCTGTTGTTTGTACTTTTCAGAGAATGTGACTGTAATTCCCAACCAGGTGTATCAGCCCCTTGGTCCTTGTCCTTGTAATCTGACAGCCGGGGCCTGTGACGTTCGCTGCTGCTGTGACCAGGTGGGTATGTCTTTTCTGATCATGGCACAAAAGTTCTGATACCCGAGAGCATGTGAAGAATACCAGCAGTTCTCCATCCACAGCTTTTTGAGGGACGGGCTTTGAAAACTGAGATTGTGTTTTGTGTTGCAGGTTGTTTTCAAATTGAGTATTTTCTTGTCTCGTCCCATCGGTCTAGTTTAGGGAAGGAAAAAATGGATCCCTTCCGATAAAATCAGGATTGAGATGATTATACTGAGAGGGTGGTGTTACTGTCTTATTGAGAAGCCTCCATGGAAAGGTAAAAAGGAAGGAAAAGACACTGTTTCAGTGATTTTTTTGGGAAATCTGTAGAGGTGCACAACCCTCATGACAACCCCATTTGAGAACGTTTCCATCACCTCAAAAAGAACCCTTTGTGCCCCTCTGCAGTCTCTCCCGTGCCCGCTGCTCATCCCAGGCCTCTCTTCATCTGCACTCTGGCTCTATGGATTGGACTGTTCCGGACACTGGATTCCGACAGCCTGTGGCCTTCTGTGTCTGGCTTCTTTCAGGCGGCATCTTGTTTTTAAGGGTTCCACGTTGTGGCAGGTTTCAGTGCTCTGTTCCTTTTTATGGCTGAGTCACATTCCATTGCAGGGATAGACCACAGATTGCCAATCCGTTTAGCAGATGATAGACATTTGGATTGCTTTCGCTTTTTGGCTGTGATGAATAAAGCTTCTGTGAACATTTGTGTGCAAGGGTTTGTTTGGACATGGGCTTCCGTTTCTCTTGGGTGTAGTACCTAGGAGTGGAACTGCTCTGGTCTATGGCAACTGTATGTTTAACCTTTTGAGGAACTGTTTTCCAAAGTGGCTGCACCGTTTTACATTCCCATCGGCAGTGTGGAAGGGTTGTGATTTTTCCCATGTCCTCACCTACATTTGTTACAATAATATTTTTGATTTTAGGCATCCTCCTGGGTATGAAGTGGTATTTCACTGTGATTTTGATTTGCATTTCTGTAGTGGCAAATGATGTTGAACATCTTTTAATGTGCTTACTGGCCATTTGTATATCTTTGAAGAAATGTCTATTTAGTTTTTATTTTTTAAAAGATTTTATTTATTCATTTGGGAGAGAGAGACAGAGAGAGCACAAGCAGGGGAGAGGCAGAGGGAGAGGCAGAAGCACACTCCCTGCTGAGCAGCAGGCCTGACGCGGGGCTCGATCCCAGGACCCTGGGATTATGACCTGAGCCGAAGGCAGACGCTTAACCATCTGAGCCACCCAGGCACCCCAAGAAATATCTATTTACACCCTTTGCCCATTTTTTAATTGGGTTCTCTTTTTGTTGTTAAATTATAAGAGTTCATTGTACCTTCTGGATACTAGTCCCAAATCAGGTATGGGATTTGCAACAAACATCCCCCACTGTGTAGGTCGTCCACTTTCTTGTAGGTGTCATTTGAAGCCCAGAGGTTTTGTAATTTGATGAAGTCCGATTCGTCAATTTTTTCTTTTGTTGCCTGTGCTTTTGGTGTCTTATCTAGGAAACCGTTGCCTGATCCAGGTCAGATACGTATTTCTAATCCTTTGCGATTTAAGAGCAATGAGAGATGCGAAAGAGGCACATTTACTGGGACCCCAGTCACTCCCATTTGCGGTTGAGCGCAATTATATCGTGGTTGGTTTTATAAAACAGAAAAGGGAAAAGTAGAAAGGAAAGCTTAGGGCCTTCATTTGTATTGTAATTCTCATACTAACAATTGTACTTATAATAACAATTATATTTAATTTAAAAATACAGCACATGATAAATCAGTATCAGTAGAAATGTCAAGATGGTATTCTCTTCCTCTGTCTTCCAGACTGCAGTGCTGCACCCGGTTTCTAACTTCTTTTGTGTTTGTCGTATTTGGTATCGATGTACACAGCACCAAGCACTGGCCTTGCTTAGTCTTCTGGATCAGTGATGTCATCTCATAACTGCTACTTACCACGTTAGACACGATCAGTTGTTTAATTTGAATTGTTCTTGTTTAAAATTTATTTTTCTACTGTCAGTAAACAAGGGATTCAGGGCATACTTTTAGCTCTCAGTGCTATGTGAAACAGGGAAGAATATGGATGAATAACCAAGTACAGGAACCAAGTCACTTCTTGATGACATTAATTGGGTCGTGTTCTCATACGGACCTTAAGGATTCTTACAGAGTTCGTACTGTTTGCCCTGACTCGAAATGTCTTTAGGTTTCTCTGGGCTAGGGATTTGGATGGTGATGGCAGTTAAAAAGAGAGGAGTTTACTCTGTTTTATTCCCCAGTTGGAGTCTATTCCATATTTTCTTCTCTTCATATTGTTTTCTTTCTTTCTTTTTTTTTTTGTGGGCACATCTTACGTCTCGAGTAAGGATGTGGTTCCCTGGAAGGTTTGAAATTCCTGACCTGGAGGCTCATTATGGAATTGAGAGAAATTCTAGCAGGATTTTACTTCCTGTGAGCACAAAGCGCTAGTAGCCTGGACAGAGACTACGTTCCACGCCTCTTCAGCGGCGTCCTGCTCGCCTGAGAGCTGAGGGGCCCACAGAAGCTTCTGTCTGCTCACTGCTCCTCTGCGTTTCCTTTCAAGGAATGCTCGTCCGATCTAACAGAGCTGTTCAGAGAGGCCTGTTTCACCGGCGTTTTTGGAGGCGACGTCAATCCGGAGTTTGACCACCTGTGCTCCGTGCAGGAGACCCCCGGGGCCCCTGGCTGGTTCCCGTTCCTGTGTGTGCAGTCCTCGCCGGCCAACTCGCCCTTCCTGGGCTACTTCTACCACGGCTCCGTGTGTGTGTCCGGGCGCGGCCCACGGGTGCCCACGGCCTCTCGCGGGCCCAGGCCTGACCACCTCCGTTTGAGATTCGGTCCTAGATTTCTGTTAGCAAGTTTATTTTGCTTTAAGTATTTGAAAGAATTGGGCTTCACTGAAGAGAAATTGTTGATACCACAAACAGTTAATAGTGATCATCTGGGTTTGGGGAAGGAGTGCTGGGCTCCCGGGGTCTTGATTTTCTTTCTTGTACCTTCCCCTGATGTTGAAATTTTACACCTGTCTTCTTCTTCTTCTTATTGAAGTAGAATTCATGTAACATAAAATTAACCTCTAACTACTTTCAAGTGTATACCTCTGTGGCTTTTAGTCCACGTATTATTTTTGTAATTAAAAAAGTAAAACAAAAATTAAAAGAAGAATTGTTTTTAGCAGATAATGGCTGCGAGTATTAGTGGTAATCCTTCTCATTGATTTACAGTTCCCCTCGGCAGCACGCTTCCTTTGAAGTGCATCTGCATACTGATCTAAGAGACTTTTCAGACTTTGGTTACAAGCAAGGAGATCCGATCATGACTGTAGACAAGGCATATTTTACCATTCCGCAGGTAAGAATTTCAATTTTAATGTGCTAGGGGCCTTTGATATTTTTTCCCATCCTGTTGTTAATTGAATTTCTGCACTCAAAAAGTCTCATCCTAAGTTCCTTATTTTTCTCCTGTGGAATTTCCAGGCACTCAACTCTTTATGGTCTGTGGATTTTATTTTTAACAGCCTCTCTTAAATTAGCCACTGATTTTGCTAAATCTCAGAGTGAACTTAACAACCAAAGACATTCTATCAATTTCCATGGAACTACAGTTATGCACTTCTGTTAGTTTAACAGCCGATTTCCAGTAAGCTATAAGTATATAGTTTAATATAATATTCCAGAACTTTGAAAATTATCTCAAGGCTGTGGAGTTTTATGTGATCTTTGTTTTTTTTTTTTTAAGTCCAAAATCATATATCTGTGGGAAGAAAACATGGGAGTCTAAACCATCTCTCTTCGCTGTTCAAGGACTCCATTTTTATGGTTTTAACAAAAATCTGGTTGTCCCGAGGGAGAGAAAATGAAGTTGAATATAATCCTGTTTCTGCAAAGTAAATGGAGCAGGGAGTTTTCTTTGTTTTTGTTAAATACTTCTACTCCTCAACCAGTGGCTTCCAGACTTTGATTAGCAAATGATCTACATAGTCTATTTATGGGTCATCTAGTCAGTGAACTCGTTATTGAAACTAACCCAGCAGGAGGAGCAGGCTGCGGAAAGCAAGTCTGTATGGGACGCTGACCTGTATGTTCTGACTTGAAGAGAGGTCATAGCCCTGCTGGGATTTCCCCTTGCCCTCAGGTGTCCCTGGCTGGGCAGTGCATGCAGAACGCGCCGGTGGCATTCCTTCAGAATTTTGATGTTCGCTGCACCACTAGTTTGGAAGCGTACCGAGAGCAAGATGGTATTATCAATGCGAAGATCAAGAATGGTGTGGTAGGAGGTATGGTACATTGGTTTGAGAAGAGAACGTGGGGCTCCTGGGTGGCTCATTCGGTGAAGCAACTGACTCTTGATTTCGGCTCAGGTCATGATCTAGGGTCGTGGGATCGAGCCTTGCGTCGTTGTCGGGCTCTGCGCTCAGCGGGGAATCTGCTTCTCAGCCTCTCTCTCTTCCTTTGCCCCTCCCCACACGTGCTCTCTCTCTCTCCCTCAAATGAATAAATAAATCTTAAAAAAAAAAGGAATACAGACGTGAATGTCTACATAAACTGTGATCTCATGAGGATATAAATCACTTCTACTGGATCAACTTAAAATATCTGAACTGCCAATTGAGGAAAATGTTTTCTTCAGAAGAAGTCCAGTTCCATAGGGCAGCATGTTGATGTTAGTTCTTCTTTACAACTGGAGGTAAAACTCACATAACATAAAATTATGTTAAAGTGGACAGTTCAGTGACATTTAGGACCTTCACAGTGCTGTGTAACCACCCCCTCTGTTCAGTTCCAGAACATTTTCCTTCCCCTAAAGGAGACCCTATACCCTGGCCCCTAGCTGTCTCTATGGATTTGCTTGTTCTGGGCTTTCCATATAAGAGGAATCCTATAATAGGTGGTCTTTGTGTCTGGCTTCCTTCACTTAGCATCACGTTTGCAAAGTTCACCCACGCCGTGGCACGGACCAGAACTCCGCTCCTTTCCGTGGCTCGGTCCTAGTCCATCCTGTGAATAATTGTGCCACATGTGTCAGCCGTTCATCCTTTGATGGGCATTTGGGTTGTTCCCCACGTTTGGCAGCTGTGACCGTGCTGCTGTGAACGCTGGTGTGCACATGTCTGTTGGGCTCACGTTTGCATCTCTCTCGGCTGTCCACCCAGCAGTGGGGTTGCCAAGTCGCGTGGTGATTGGACTTTCTGAGGAAGCACCAAACCGCTTCTAGAGCGAGCGCACCATCTTCCGTTCCCACTGGCAGTGTCCCGCATGTTTGTTCCTACAGGAGAGTAGCTCTCTGCATCTCTGTCACTGACTGGAATCTCCTCCTCAGCCATTACCAGATGCCAAGGACAGTGGGGTTCCCACGGCTGGCGTTTGGGGAGTGGGAGAGAGGTTGGTAGCTTGCACACAGGCTGGGCGCAGTTACCATAGTTGCCTGATAAGCTTTCCCTTGAATAAGTAAACACGATAGTGTTGGGCCGTGTCGTCCTCAGGAGGCTAACTTCTGTATCTTTTCAGGCATCGTTACACCAAAAGTGATCTATGAGGAAGCAGCCGACCCAGACAGATTCATCACCGGGACAGGTATTTGAATTAACGCTTTCATATGACCTCTACAGAAATATGTAGGTCATTTCTTATAAATAATACGCAGTCCTAGAGGAAAATAGATTTTTATGAAGAATTTAAGGCGGTTCACAACACTTAGAGTTTTGTCTGCTCCACATTTGGTTTGTTCCTTATTCCGTCTTGCCTTGCTTCTGAGAGTGGTATCTGCCAATCCTCACAGCCCTGAGTTCTGTGGGCTCCAGGGTCCCTGCTAGTTTTCAGGGCCTGTGGACCTTTTCTGAAATGTTGTTCAGGGAGCCAGCATGTAGGCTTCTTGCTCTCTTTTCTTCTCCTTTTTTTTTTTAATAACTACACTTTGCAGTTTTGATGCAGCCAAACAAATTATTCAGAGTTTGGCAAATAGTACCAGGACTTTTGTTGTGCATGAAGGATATTTGTGTTTCCTTACAATGTGTTGAAATTCTCAAATGTATTCATTCATCAAATCTTAGCAAAGTACCTACAATATAGTAGTGAGCTAGACATCAGGCATCTGCTCCTATGGGGCTGACACTCTGTAGTCCTTCATCTTTGACAAATATTTGACCGAGCGTGTGCTGTGTATCGAGCTATGAGCCGCATTCTGGGGGTATGGAAATGGAAGGAAAGGGCAGACTTCACCCAGGACACTGTGATGCTCTAGAGGAGGGGGCCAGTGCTGACTTGGTGGGGCCAATAATAGACTTGAACCCAAGGAGGGTGGTTAATTTATGAAAGTATTTTTTATTTGCAGAAACACTTTTAAGCAATGAATCAGCCTCCAGAAACGTGAATGTGGAAGAACATTATATTTTCAGATGGAATAATAATACAATCAGCGAAATAAATGTCAAAATTATTAGAGCAGAAATTAATGCCTACCAGAAAGGTAACTTTGTTGAGGGCAGTGAGAATGTTTTCAGCTTAAAACATTTTTTTTTCTTTCTTTACGATTCTCATAATTATTACACATAAAACTAAGTCAGACTTGTTTCTTATTTGTATTTGTGATTTAATAGAAAACATTTTTTTCTTTTGCATGTCAAGATGTAATTATAAGGTAAAGAAAATAACACTATGAGGGATAATTTCTTTTCCTAGTGAAATGGTGCACATTATATTTTTATTTTGTTTTATTTCTAGGGAGCATGACACAGAGATTTACAGTAAAATTTTTAAGCTATAATAGTGGTGATGAAAAGGAATTTTCTGGGAATCCAGGTAAGACTGTATGTCAATTGCTGATCCTACAAACATATTTTAATTCAATTCTCTTGTGCTACAGTAATTATAACTCACCTCTCCAATTTTAGTTTGTGACTCTAACCTTTCTCTTTCTCTTTTGTGACACTGTATTCTTTTTCTGATAACAACTTTTTTTTTTTTTTTACCAGACGTGTTGTAAGTGTAGTTGTAAATGCAAAACATTCTTTCTCTTTAGCTACTAGTCTTTTGAAAAAAAGATAATGCCGAATAATGTTGGTAAAATTAGCTTTTATAGAACTAAGAAGCTATAGATGATGGGTTCCTAACCTGGGGTTCTGTGGTGAGACTTCACAGGGACTGTGAACTTCTGGTCATGTTGTGCATTTTGTGATTATGTACAAATATAGCATCACCTGATTTGTTGTGTATTTGTTTGCTTCTTTAATTCACCGTTGCCTCCTCAGCACCTGGAACAGTAGGGAGGACTGCACGTCCAACATGCCAGCCGCTAGCCGCACAATGTGGCCAAGGGCATATGTGGAAATGGTAATATTTGGATATATTGAGTTGAATAAAATATATTATTCAAATTAACTTCATCTACTTTTTCTCTCTTTTTTTAATGGGGCTACCAGAAAAACATTTTTAAATGTCTAAAAAATTCTAAAAATGTGTCATATTTTAAAATCACATATGTGGTTTGCATTATATTTCTGTTTGGCAACACTGACTTGGACCATAGTAGGTGTCCAGTAAATATATGTTGGATAAACTGTCATTGTTTTTTGTTTTTTTTTCTTTTTTTTT